TTGACTCGCGCCACATGGCTTTTGCACCGAGAATTATATATATATATATATATATATATACATATATATAAATATTGATTGATTGATTGATTTACTTTATTTACTACAAATTTGAAGGAATGAACAGCAATAAACAATCAATAAAGCGAGAAGTGAAGCACACGTCACAAAATTCATTTGCCACTTGGGTAACGGGTAAGAATCTGTAAGTTTGTGTGCTCAACAATACATCTTACAAGATCATTTAGCGACGCTACTTTCGCCTTAAGGTACTGTTTTTAACCCTCTTCATTGTTTTAGTTTCCCCCTATGGATAGATCTAGCTGTTATATACATATAGTTTATTTGCGCTATATAAATCCATATATTATTATTATTATTATAATATATATATATATATATATATATATTCTATATATATACATGTATATATGTATATATACACTTGAATACTAGTATATTGCTAAAGGCTCTAAAAGAAGAGGACGGCCATATAAATGACTTACCGTCCTTATTCATGTTGACATCAAAACATTTGCGCAATCTACAGGCTCGGCACTGATTGCGATGTGTCTTATCGATAGGACAACTGCCACTTCTTTGGCCTGATAACTTGCACGAGTACGCACGGTTGCGATGGATACTGCGTTTGAAGAAACCACTGCAGCCGTCACAAGCATATACACCATAATGTTTACCTGAGCTCCGGTCACCGCATACCTTACATGGTATATCTAGTAAGCGTTCACCTGTAGATGGAGAAGCCATCATTGTGTTAAAATAAAAAGATCATCTGGAAATATACATTACGCAGTAAAAAATAATTTAGGAGATGATGTTTAAAAACTCATTTACATCGAAAACCAACGGAAACAGTTGCCATGTATGCATGTGTGTTGAGGTTCACCAGATATACCGGTAATATTAAACAATAATATGGAACACCATGTTTGTGTAACCCTTGACTTCTGCTTCGCGCCACTTGACTTTTGCACTGAGCCACTAGTGCTTTCACCGCTAATTTTAGTTTGCACTGCGCCACTCGAGTTTGTCCTTTTGGCCTGATGTTGGCAAAAGAACAAACTACATTACACCGTGCAAACTCAAGTGGCAGCACGCTACGCAAGTTAAAACAAGTCAAGTGTTGCGGATAAATAGTCAAGAGGCGAAACAAACGTGTGTGCCACTACTTAAGTTTGTGCCACCACTTGACTTTTGCACAGCGCCACTTGACTTTTGCACACTGTGTACTGTGGTTTGTCCTTTTATCGTTCCATAAAAAGGTAATCAAACGTGTAGACGTGCAATCTACGTATCGGTATCTCGGGTAATCTCGTGAAGACGATTTGTTTCAGAAGTAAACCAATTGGTCTTCAAATACCCTTATTGTTGAATCATCAACCATTTATTAATTATTAATAACTTTTGAATTAATCAAATTAAAAAGAAACGCTCGTTTGCTTATATACCTACTAATCAAAAGAAGAATGTACACGATTTGACAACACATAACATTCTTGGTAAACATTGTCGAGGAATATCGTCTGCAGTTGTATGTGTGTTACTAGAACTCAGAATAGCTACGTAAGTATTCTATCAAACAATATCAATTAGCAGGAGAGAAATCGAAAAACCATAATTCAAAAACAAATACATTAACTCGAAAACGCCAGCAATAACCCATGATCTGTATTATGGGTAAATAGGCTATATGCATTTAACTTTAACTTACCTTTTTGTAAATTCCATTGTCATTTTAATTGCTTTAGTGCTAGAACACGATGTGTGTTCTTTTAAAATCCAACCGAATTGTACGCCGGGATGATAACGTTAGCATACTATATCGAGGCTAAATACGCTTAACTTTAACTTGCCTTTTGTAACTTTCATTGTCATTTTAATTTATTTAATGCTAAAACACGATGTGTGTTCTTTTAAAATACAACCGAAAAGTACGCCGAGATGATAACATTAGCAGACTAGATCAAGGCTAAATACGTTTAAATTTAACTTACCTTTTGTAACTTTCATTGTCATTTTAATTGATATAATGATAGAACACGATGTGTGTTCTTTTAAAGTCCAACCGAATAGTACGCCGGTATGATAACATTAGCAGGCTATATCGAAACTTCTCGGCACTGATAGCCAATCAGCGACCAGAAAGGTGGTACAATGACAGTAGCAAGTTGTTAAAAGTCGTAATATAACAAAGTACAGTACTGACAAGGTAGTGTTGTATTACGATGCGACTGTCACAAAGCGAGAACACTTGATTGAAACGAATATCGGTGGAATTAATTGTTTAATGATGCCTTGTTTGTGTTTGTGAACTAGCTGGACATAATAACAGACCCGCTACCTGAAACAGGTTGCAAATGTTACAATTCGTAGAGTTTTTTAAACTTGTTTACTAATTAGCAGGTAGGCTAACTGATTCTTTATTAACTTAAGCATATATGTATGTATAAATGAATATATGTATATATATATATATATATATATATATATATTCATAGGTATATTCATATATTATATATAATGTATATATTAATAACAACAATTATAATATATATATATATATATATAATAATACAATATATAAATAAATAAATAATATAATGAATCTAATTTGCTTACTTCGCACTTTAAGCTAATTATTAGTTTTTTGGTAATTTCCAACCTTGTTTATTGTTTATAAGAACTGGAAATAATCAAGCAAAAACATAACGTAACAATTTAATAATAACCACAATACAATAATAATAATGATGATGATAATGATAATAATAATAATTGTAATTTTAATGTCAATGATAATAAAATTAATGTAATAATAATTATAATTATTATTAATAATAACACTCTAATAATGTACTACTACTACTACAACTGATAATGATGTTGGTGACGATGGTTATAATAAGGATTAGCAATGATTGGGGTGAAGCTGATGACGGTAGTGGTGATGATGATTAAAGTGATAATGATGATGGTGATAATAAGATTGTTTTATAGCAATATTAAAAATAAGAAAGTACAGTAAATATATTTTCTTTAAAAAAAGAAAAATATGAGCAAAACTCGAAGCATGAACACAACTGGTACATTTGTATTCTTTAAGCAATTGATGGTTGAGTTGGCAAGTTGTGTGGTGGTTGAATTGGTTGTTGTGCGATGTACATGACCCATCGGCTATCTGCTTTGTTGCCGTTCACATTGGCAGTCCGTCAGCTGGGAGAGTGCGCTGACTCGTGACGTAATCGGCCGACAAGCGTTAGCTCCATTTAACGATAGCTTTTGTACTCATCGACAGCTTGGTTATTTCATAGAGAATTTCACTTTCAAGCGTGTGTATTCGTGTATTTAGATAGTGTGTTTATCCATGAACAAACCATTTCTAGTATTAATTTACATATCCATTCCTTGGTGTTACTTGACTATGTTTAGTCAACAAGAACTGTTAAAACATCTAAATACAACGTTAGCCTACTTCTGGCCTAATTTTTCAAAATTTATATAAACAAATTAGGCCTATCATTCTAGGTTATCTATGTAATGAAGATCTGAACGGCGTTCCCAAGTCAGCCTTGTTTCCTTAAAACCGCTACACTGTCGCTGAAGTGTTTTCAGTGCAATCTTTGTACGCAATCGGGAAGGCTCCCCGATTCGACCGACCAATCAGCATTATCGGAAGCTGTCGGCGATAGGGTGTAGCGATTGTATGGAAACCAGGCTTTAACAGATACGTGGTACGAAAAATATAAAACTACACAATTGAATGCAATAATTGATAATAACTGATTGATGATAGTTGTGGTGATAATGATGGTTATGGCAACAATGATGATGATGACGACGATGGTGATAATGAGAGTATGTAGTTGGAGTAACACTGACAATGATGATAATATTGATGATAATGGTGAATATTTTTTTTTAAATTTCAATTCACATCCAACAGCGGAAAGACCATAAAATGCGAATACATGAAACAAATACGATGAAATACAAAATAAATAAGGCGGTAAAGTCAGTAAAAGTTAATGATAACCATAGATGGTCATGGAGTATATGACGATGATTACGATTATTGTGATGACGATGATTAATAAAAAGATTACACCATTCTAACCAAAAAAAGTGATATGATTATCAAATGCGATAATATTCACCATTGTGAAAAGAGTTGTTGATCACTGATGAAGTTTCTGTATGTGTGTATCACATTATATATTTCATACTCTTACTGGGTTACGTTGCATTTATTTTTGTACAATTTATTTTTAATTTCACTACTGCGATACGATTATGTTTATCTGTCTCTTTTAACTATTAACCAATCACGAATTGCCTATATATGCGACATATATTCAAATTCCACACATTTATTGATAGTCTCAATTCGTATTAAGTACTAATTAATTGTTAAAGCAAGGCTCCGAAAGAAAACAAATTGATAAGTCTTTCGCTCTAAAAGCAAATCAACCTGGATTAACCCACCTTATTTCAACACCTGACCATTTTCTTGAGCATGAGCAGTATCTGAATTCTAATTTACTATAACGTGAATGTATTTCTTTTAAATTTTAGGCCTTGTTTCGTCGCGATTTTTCCCTTTTCAAGTTTTTCCCTGGATATTTTGAAATATTTGTACTTGCCTTGCGTTGTCTTTTATTCAGACATTCAGACACGGCCTAGGCATTTGTGATGTTTTTCTTTTGATGAATAAAGTAATTTTTATAAGACACAAAGACAACACATATGACAAAAAGACCTTTCTCTAAATTTTAAATATTTAAAAATCTGTATCTCATTAACCGTTCCCAAGGTTTTTCGTCAAATATGTTTTTTATCTTAGAAAAATCAGTTGTATAACATATTTCTTTTCCCCCTGGGCCTCTTAAGTTTTAATTTACATTGCCTTAATTTTAGGAAGCCAATCACCGCAATGTTAACTTAATAAATGGTTATACCCAAACGATCTCCTCGTTTTTATAATAAATTTTACGGGAAACCAATTATTATCTTTGTTTTTGATTTATGTATTTTAGTTTACCTATATGCAGTGCCTCTAATTTACAAATAAAAAATGAAATTGAAAAACAAATGAACGAAAAGTTTTACTTCAGACTTTAAGTGCCTATTGGAATAGTAAATCCGAGCTGTTCCGTCGTATTCAGGATAAAGGTAAATTGTATAAGCTGGCAGCTGTTTTTATAATTTACATTAAATTTGTAATATAATATATAAATAAATAAATATATATACATACATGTATATATATATGTATATATATATATATATATATATATTGTAAAAACAATAAAAGACGATGTACAATCATTTTGACTCGCGGAGTCAAAATATAATAAAATAAAACGGATATTTCGATAGCTCCTGCTATCTTTATCAACTTCAACGTTTAATGGCAGGAGTATTGGACGCAACAATACTATGATATTATTTTTTGATGATTTATACTATGTGTAGTATTTATGTGTTGGTAAGTGGGTGTTCATTAGTTATGTGGATTGCCGAACAAATATGGAATTCATTAGCAATAAGTGGCTCTATTTTGGAATTAAGTGTTTTTATTTTAAGCGCTCTCATTCGATAATATAAAATAAAGATTTGATTGGATTGGCGCAGTACATCACTGTATTCATCATTGTCGTCACCATCACCTTTATTATTATTATTATTATTATTATTATTATTATTATTATTATTATTATTATTATTATTATTATATTATTTAATATTATTATTATTAGGCCTACTCTATTATTATTAGTAGTAGTAGTATTAGTATTATTATTATTACAGTACATCACTGCATTCATCATCGTCATCATCACCTTTACTATTAAAATAAATTAATACTGCCTCAATATTATTAGGCCTATAGGTATGGGCTTAATTTTCTTTTTTTATATATATATATGAATATAGAAAAGTTACTATTATAATATGCTATTAAGTTTGAATAAAGGAAGAAAGTTTTAATTTGTATAAGTAAAGAGAAAGAAAGATGAAAAGAATGGAAATTTAGTACTTACTAACTTTTGCCGCCGACTTAACGGTAAGAGAAAACAGAGTTTCATCCATGTCCATGGCTTTTACCTCTTCTGTAACCATTGAGTCGATACGTGCATTATTTAACAATCGGACAGCTAGCAGAGAAATTTTATGAGCCGCGTTATTTGAAATAGAGTATGGGAACTTAGCAGGTGGATTCCGTGGCGCTTCATTTGATTCCTATCATACTGCTTGTCTAGTAGCTGTGGTGAAAAGTCTTAAGTCTGATTGGACGGTTGTCTGGTCATGATTCGCCGAGTCGCCCTCTGTGAAGGGTCGTATAGTCTTGCGCAAAGTCATTTGGCTTCCTTGATTGGTAAACGTACTAGCCGATCAGTATTGACAAACATACCTGCGTTATAAAATACCTTTTTGTCGGGGTGATGAAACGTGCGATAATTGTAAGGAGATGACTTCTGTTTGCTAATTGTTCGTAGGACATAGCTTTTATGGGACCATTAATCTTATGCCAAATGGACAGGATGAAATGAATATTACCCTGCAGTTATTTCCATTCTGTTTCTCTCGTCTTTCACATTATTGTTTCATTGTTACTATAGTAACAATGTACGCGATGGTAATTCTCTTTTCCATCCGCTTCAGTATTTACTTCAAGAATTCTCAGACTTTACTCGTTGTTTTATTATTACTGGTTCACTTGTGTATGTCGTCATTATGATGGTAAACCTCTTTTTGTATTACGGCCTAACTATTCAACTATAAGTTCGCGGTTATCAATTCCAATCATGTCCTTATTAAACACTGTATATGTACTTTTGATGATTTATATTATATCAATTCCAATGTTTTTCTTATTTAAATTTCAGATCTGCCAGGCACTGATCTCGTTCTATTTCATTAATTACCGAAATTTGCTGGTAACAAACAACCAGCAGTTAGTGTATGAATGGTCAAGGCAAATCTAGAATTGAACGTTTATTGACAGTCATGGGCATAGAAATGATTTGTATCGATCATGGAATTCTTACAAAATATAAAATAAATACGAATGAGCATATCATCAACTTTGAAAATTGGCAATATAAAACAATATCATCCCGGAAAAATCTATAAATTATTAAAATTGGTTCAACATATAAAATCTAAAATCGGGAAATATCATCAACATCATAAAAGCATATTAAACAAATCTTTCCTGGACTCGTTACACATGGAGTTAAGAGAAATGAGGAGATGGAAATACGAGCTTTAAAAGAAAAAAACCTCTGGCAACAGAATTAACTTCTCAGCTAAATGGGAATTTCTTTTTAAGAAGACCACTCTTTAATACGGGAATTTAGCTGAGTACTCTTCGCCCATTTCCTTTCCAAAGTTGTTACTGTACATTAATTTACAAATAAAGAAGGTTGAATAAAACCCCAACATTGACTACACATTATCCTATAAACTAATAAAATATAGAATATATAGAAAAGGTATAAAAATACGAATGATTTACAGTCCAGAATATAACTTATAACCAAGGTTTCTCGCAATGTACTTCGTGTTGGATTTACTTGATAACTTCAGCTGCGCCCCAGCTCAGTGTCCACCCGACCTTTTTGCCCGTAGTTATAGACTATTCAGGGGCGGATCCGGAATTATTTAAACGTGGGGTGGGTACAGCATTTTCATAATAGTGAGTAGCGCTACATGATATTGATATGCATTGAAATTTAAAAATTGAGTAACGAAACGGTAGGGGGTGGGGCTGGCGATAATGGATTCGCGCCTACAAGGCCTAGTTTACGTCTCGTTTGTCTGATCACGGTGCCATAAACTTTAGATATCACGAGGGCGCTATTCAATTTCGGTATTCTGGCGGGAGCCGTCATCAAGTTGGAACCTATTTAATAGCATACCATTTTTGAAAATAGCCCATACAATAATAACATAATAACGAACTAAGTAGACAAACTTAGAAAAATTCCATATGCATCTATTACTTCAAGCTTGTATCGTATGGACAGCTGTTAAAAGCTGCCACACTCATCAGGTACGAATACATAGTGACCAAAAGCTCAAATTTGAACCAACCCGCAAAGGGAACCAAAACAGTCGAAATCGACAACGTAAAGTCATCTGGTTCAACCCACCGTATAGCGACAACGTTTCAACCAACATAGGCCATAAATTCATATCTATCATTGATTCATCATTCCCTCAAAACCACCCACTCAGAAAAATATTTAACCGGAACACTTTGAAATTAAACTACAGTTGTATGCCTATAATATGAAACAAATAATTACAAGCCACAACAAGACGCTGCTGAAAAAAGAAACTGATCTGACCGCACAAACTACAGGTAATTGTAACTGCAGGAGAAATGTAACATGCCCATTAGAAGGAAACTGCTTAACCAAAGGAGTTATATACCAAGCGACAGTTACCAGATATGACAACCAAACCAAGAAACATATATTGGACTAACAGAACACACGTTCAAAACCAGATACAACGGACATAACAGTAACTTCAGGAACAAGACCCAAAAGTATGCTACAACTCTTAGCCAATATATATGGACCCTTAAAGATAACTCTATCCTGTACTCGTTAAAAGGGAAAATCATAGCCAAGTGCAAGCCATACTCTCCGGCCCAAAAATGTGTAATCTGTGCCTGATGGAAAAGTATTTCATAATTTGTAAACCAAAATGAGGCACATTAAATAACAGAAATGAATTGGTAACTTCATGTAGACACAGAAAAAAAGCATCTATTGTGTAACAAAAGCAATATTAACACCTCAGCTAGACAATGGTAGGAACCAACAACGTATATCCCCTTATCTCCTAGCATAAATGTAATCCTTGTACTGACTACTCACTATGTATTTGTACCTGATGAGTGTGGGCAGCTTTTAACAGCTGTCCATACGAAACAAGCTTGTAGTAATAAATGCATATGGAAATTTTCTAAGTTTGTCTACTTTGTTAGTTTTATTTTGCTCCCAACCGTTGAGCCCTCTCACACTTGATGACTTACAAAAAGATCACCTTGA